TGCCCATCCACCTGACGGCGGAATGGCCCAATGCCTGCCCGGCGGGGGCGGAGCTGGCCGTGACGCGGCGGTACCTGGCTTAAAGGGCCAGCGCAACAGGTGGCGGCCGCGGGGGCACCGCGGGGTCCCGCCGCCCCCCGCTCCCGCGGCTGGGGAGAGGCGCCGAGCCAGCCCCGTCTCCCCTCCGCGGACGGGGGAAACCAAGAGTGATCAGCTTTGCCGTTCCCCGGGGCTGGACACGCATGGCTGGAAAAGTTTCCCCACCCGGCACAGCCCCCGCGCATGTTTAAGTGTTGCCCGTGGAGGGTTTGGTCCCAGAACACGGCTTTTTGGGACTCAAGCGCCCACGCACACACCCCCTCGCCTACCCCGGGCTGCAAGCCAGGGGAGCATCACTGCAAGGATTTGCACCGCTGCGAGATGGGCTGAGCACCACAGCAGCCAGCACTGCCCCGCAGCCACCGATGTTGCCGTTTCCCCTCGCTTTTTAATTTTTATTTTCATCTTCCTTCTCTCAGCCTGTCTCGAAAAAGCTTGAAGCCAGAAGAAAAGGTGTTTCATCATCAGTGGGCACACCGTGCTAAAGAACTAAAGAGCAGCCCTCGACGGAGGGAAAATACCGAGGGCTGAAATTTTTTTTTTCTGGGAAAGCTAGAAACATATGGCAGAAGGCAGACTGCCAAAGCTCACAATATGCAAGAGATTTAGCAAAGACGTATCAAGCGCTTTCCAGTTTAGTTAATTAATCTTAAAAATATTAATCCCTAAAGATGGTGACTTGTTTTACAAGGTCCCCATGGCTAAAAAAAGCATATAAAGATTCTGTGACTGCGAAACCACAACTTGTTCTTTTTCCTCCAAAACACTCTTCGCTGTCGGTCATTTTTTAAGATGACATGAAAAGCTGCAATTTCATTAAAGACAAGTCCAGCTCTCCGCTGAGGGTGTCCTCCCCTCCTCCAAAATCTGCAGATCTGTTAACCAGCAGTACAACTGCCCTCGCTCACTCACCGTGGGATGTGAGAGCTCTGCACTGTTTGTAAGCAAGACTCCCCAAGGCTGCCAGGAGGGACAGGTCGCCAGGCTACGGGAACGCAGAACCCAACTTACTTCTTCCAGAAACCTTTATTCCATGCAGCTTTTGAGCCAAATAGTAAAGAGTCCGAAGGTGACAGTTACAATCCCCACCCCACAAGTCCTCACACACGCATCTGTTCTTCCAACATCTTGAACGGAAAGCTGGTGTGGGTATTAACTCTCAGTCTTGCCGCTCTGTGTCCTGTTCAAGTGATCAAAGCTTCTTTGGAGCATGGAAAGGGAAATCTTTAGCTGTGAAGATAAAACCATCATATCCCCCCAATTACTTAGTCTCCTGCATGGGTGAGTGATACCAGGAAAATATTGTCTCCCTCCTCCTTTTCTTTTAAAGATCTCATGCAATTTCCTCCTCCCTGTTTCTATAAACAGTTGCCTTACTGTGCTCTCCTAACAGCTATACTCTGTACAGTTAGTAATTACTAACAGTCCAGCATGATAAAGTCTTAACACCTCGCCAAACAATAGTGTGGAAGGTAAGCCACCCCACTCATTTTTAGTCACAGTTAATGTTCATAGCAAATATTCTAAGGAACATGGCAGCAAAGCATGAATTTTCTTTTAATACCTGGCCTTCCCAGTGCATTTGGGTGCACAAAATGTGTTTAGATTATCGACAACCCTCAGAAAACACACGGTAACAGGCACTAAGATGTGTCATGACTTCCAGACAAAAGTGTTATTTGGGATGAAAAAGGTGGTTGAATTCTTTCTCTCTCTTTTTTTTTTTTTTTTAACACTCTGTGTGTTCAAAAAGCAGTTTAACACTTCAGAATTAGGAATTATTTAGGTAGTAAGCAGAGACAATGAAAAGGGCATGGAAACAAGGAAATTCATTTCTACAGTGAAATTTCCAGCACTCAGAAGCTTTTTTTCAAGCTGTGATCAAAATGGTTAATAGATTAATAGCAATTTTGTGTGCAGAGACACCTCTGAACAAGGAGTATAAAAAATGGCTTCTTTTTCTACCCTCCTTTAGTGCGTGGGAGAACACAGAGCAAACTGGTGATGGATAGAGGTACATGTGAACTCCCCCACAGCTTTCTTAATCTAATAATTTCTTCTGTCACATTTTAAGATTTAATAAAAGAACTTAAAATCAGAACATTCATAGGTTATAAGTAAAAAACAAAAAGTATGAATTTACTGTCCTTCACTTACTGAGTTGAAATTTCAGCCTAGGGGTTTACCGATATTGGACTTCAGAATCAGAGAGAAAACAACATTCAACAACTTCATTTTTTTATATAGCATTTGTAGTATGTAAGAGCCTGAAGTGTAAGTTACTGAGAAGGAAGATTAACTCCATAGCTATGGAGCCTCTCAGAAACATACGGTCTGTAGAATTTACTTGTTTTTCACCGGAGATTAGGTGACCCATTGATACCAAGGCTAAATGAAGCTCTCACCAATATCTAGAAGAGTAGCGGGGAGCAAAAGCCAGGATAAACCAGAATGAAGAAACCCCATAATGAGATGGGCAAATACTTAACATTATGGTTTGAGTCTTCTTAGACAAGAGGATCTGTTTTGAATTAATGCAGTCTTTGCTTTGTCATGATTCAGAACTGCATCAACACATCTCATCAATACAGGTATTTGACAGGTTTAAGAAAATTGACATGAATATTTAATCTTAGTCAAAAAAAAAAAACAAACCAAAAAACCAATTCTCAACCCAAAACATCACAAACATGAGTGTTGCCCATGTACCAAATTCAAGCCTAGGACAAAACAGGTCAAGGAGTGATGAAAACTTCAGTTAGCACCAGAAGACATCAAACAAAAGCTATGACAGCATAAGGGAGAAAACTTGAGTTGCTGAGAAACAAGAACATCACCAGGAAAGACTGGCAGACCTACCTGCTCAAGCATTTCAATTGAGTCTCTTAAAACTCCCTTCACGTGTTTAACCTGTTCTTTATCATATTGAGGGATCTCCTCTTTTGATACCATTTCTGGTGATACGCTGAAAGAGATTGAGATTACATCAGAAACATGAAACAAGCACCTCCATGGCTTTCTAAAAGCAACTGCTCTCTGTGACCATTGCTCTGCCATTGCTAAAAGCATCCTTTTCCAAAAGCCACATAAAAAGCTGCCTATAGTTGAATTTCAATCCCTGTTGCCTTGAAGATGCTGCCTCAGACCTTTATAGACAACAGCCACAAAGAACAAATGTGCTCGCATTATGTCTGCAATGTAAGTTCTCACACTTCAGAGGGCAAGATCTTTCTTATGAAGAAAGTAATCAGTTCTGAGATGATCACTGTGGGAAGTCACCACACCACTTCCATACTCAAGATCAGGTTATGGTTTTTAACATGTTTGCTGATACCATATTCAAGAAAGGAAGCAACATCTGAGCCTCTTCTGTGTGTCTGAATACAAAAGGCACCTGTAATGGAAGTTTGAGGAGGAGAGGAGATTTAGCAGGACGCTCACAGAAAGAGGCTAAAAAGCTAAATGAATCTCTAATGTTACATTTGACATCACGCTGGTTCACACAGGATGAAGTGAACACTTTGGTTCCGTGATCAGCACTATGATATTCACAGAAGATGAGTCACAGCAGGGTGATAAATGCAAGCTAAGGTTAACACTCCCCCAAAAAACAGCTTGTCAAAGGAGAAACTTATTACTGCAAGCTGCAGTCAGACATGTCACTGGATATCAGCACAGACCACAGACAAGCAGCAAGCCCCAACAGCTTTTGAAGACTTACCACCGAGTTTCATTGTTCAAGATTTATTTTAGATCAGATTCTCACATAAGCTGAGGAAGAAAGCAAGCAAAGATTGTGAATTCAACTTACTTCAAAGAGCTTTCTTCCTGAAGTTGGACATGATAGAGGGACTGAGCTGCATGCTCTATCTTTGACAGTTTGAGAAAGAGTGTTACATTCAGCAAGACCAAAACCAGCAAACTGCAGGGAGAGGAGAACAAAAATCAAGTCCTGTAACAATTTCAGTTGCAATGCTACAGAAACAAGATCTGGGCTAAAAACAGCTAAGAAAAGAGAATCCTTCTGGGAGAAATAAAAGGTATGGGGCAGCACTATACTGAAAATAAAGATCTATCCAAAAAATTCTTAGCAGTTAGCATTAAGCTGTGTAATAGCAACCAATAGGAACGACAACAGTGTCTCCTCTTGGAACTTTTAAAACTAGGAATGAGTATGTTCTAGACTTTTTTTTGTAGGATCAGACCTAAGTAAAACTGCAAGGTAGACTAGTTTGGCAAGTCAGTATTTTCATTCCGTGTGTCACTTAAGTCAATCCATTCCCCTCCTATACCCAAGTGCCCCATTCAAATTCGGTTAGGATCTATCATGCTACGTGCAATGTTAACATGCAAGTAAGGTACAGACAAATACAGATAAAGACCAAGATGAGCTTGAGTCAAGCTACATTTTAACGCAAGTGAGTACTTACAAGACACTCATTACTACAATGATGGTGGTGGTCCGACTTACAGCATCTCTTTTCCTTCCTATAGGGCATGGAAGAAAAGGAGGTTAAAAAGTACTGAAGAACATTCCTAAAGGATGCCTGCAGATACATGTCAGTGCCCAGCATTTCATACAGAATAGCTCAACAGCTTCTGATGGAAAAAAAAAAAATAACAGATCATGTGGTTGCACCAAGGCATTTTTGCAGTCATCTTAGACAAGTCAGCTGGACAGTTGGGCTCTTCCATCAGGAGCAGGATTCCCCCTACGCCAGTAGGTTGGGGAGAACACAGTGCTGGGACATGTTCACATTAAACCTAGAGAGCCTGAGAAGGTTACAGTCCATCCATTACTAACACTCATTCAGCACATACGCTGCTAGTCACACACAAGCAGAGACAGGCTGCGAAGTGGCTCTCTTCTGCTTGTTCTCCTGCCCACATTAGTCTTTCTGACAACCAGTGTCAAATCAAGTTCTCTTGTAATTTGTCCCACCCTTATTGGCTTGGTTTATATGTTGGCCCAAAGGCAGCCTTTCGAAAGAGCATCTGCTAGTCATCAGGCAACAGACACTAGTGAGGGAGGGGAAGTACGCATGTCCTTTCCAAACTGAGCAGCAATCACCTACCACTGTGAGCAGGCTGATCTTTAAATATAATTACCTGTTCTCCTAAAATAGTTCCTTACATTCACATTTCCTGCCCTGGACAAAAAGCATACACGAAAGCTGTAGTGTAT